CTAATAAGGGAGTATAAATTACGTGACTAAACGCTAAAGAAAAATAAAAATAGGTTATGTATTTTTATCTAAATTATTGCCAAACAAAAAATAGATATTCAATACATTGTCATTCCTAGTATTAAATTGAATGTCTTTTGTTAGCATTAGCTTTGATTTGATTTTGGTTTAGGCTTTTGTTAGCATTATTTGAGTTACTAATATTAATGGGTATAAAACTTATTGGAACATTCAAAAGTTCTAAGTCCAACCTTGAAATAATGCCTTAAAAGATAAAATTATGAAAAAGTTTTAAGAAATATTTATAAATTACATCACAATAAGTATATTTATATATTAAATAATAAATATATCTAAAAATTTTATATATGTATTATCGGGTTGGTTTGGTTTCGGTTTGACTTTCTTTAGTTAAAATCAAATCAAACCGAACCATAGTCGGATTTTTTTTCTCGATTTGACTCGGATTATCAGGTTGGTGCGGTTTATCGGTTTCCTTTGTACACCCCTATCCAAACACAATTTCAACTTTCAAATTTTATTTTTAAAAATCTCTTTTTCTTAAGTTCCAACCAAATTTATATGTCCAAATCGCTAGCTAAAACTAAAAATATTAGAAACATGATTAAGTGTCGGATTCCGGATTCTATTGAATAATTGTTATATATAATTTGAAATAGAGGGAGACTTCATTGCCATAAGTTATTCAGCTCTGTTTATTTTCAAGATACAAAAATAGATGTTTCATATATAGAAAAGGATGGTTCATTATTACATTCTGGTATGTATGTTATGTTACATTAATAAGGTAACTAAAGGGACGTGGCAAGAATTGGAACCAAAAGAAGGCTATGTGACTATGTCTCCCAATTGCCCAATTGGGTGTGTTGTGTAACAGAGCCAGCCCATTTTGGGGTCCCAACAGACGCGTCGGCTTAGCCGTCAAAATTTACGCAAAAACCCGACCCATACACATGCTCCTATTGGTCTACGTGTCCTAACTACACTACAAACACCTGTTCAGCTCACTCTTTTCCTTTTATCCACTCTTCTTCCCTACTTCCTCGCGTTTATCGTACTCTCAATTCGGGTGTCGGCACTTATATGTGTTGCATTGATTCATTGTCAAATATGTACCCCGTTTCAACATAAGAAATTTTTCCATATTTTTTAAAAAAAAATTACTTTTTAATTTTTACTTGAAAATGCATTTTAAAAATTTTTAAAAATTTAAAAAATTCCAAAAAACTATTTTTTAAAATTTTCACTCAAATCACTCACAAAACTTTTAAAACAACCCAAAATTATATTCATGTCTAAACAAATTTCAAATACAATTTTTACTTAGAAAAATTTTTTCACCACCTTTTGAAATTTTATAATTCTTATGTCCAAATGCCCACTTAGTACAAGTTTGTCAAAGATTTCTACAAATTTTAACGTATTTTGAATTATTGTGAGGGTAAAACTTACTAAGTTACACCATACCGTATTATATAGTGGTTTAGTAATTAAATGGTGAGCGTATATATTAAATAAGGATCATGGAGAGCAGATGATGCGGGATATAAACTTTATAGATTCAAACATTTTAGACTTTTAATATTGATTTTATTATAATTTTTGTTGGTAACCATTGTCAAATTACCATTAACTCCAAAAACCATTACAAATAAAGAGCACCTCCTTTCTGACTAAGAAATTAGGCCTCCACCAAAACAAGAAATAACTACACATAACTCTAATTACAAAGGACTTGTTGTACTAAGCTCCTACATCTACGTATTCTATGTGAAGACCTGGTGACCTCTGTCCTTTCTATAATTTCCTTATTTATCTATTGCACTACCTCCTCTTTTGTCACGATCCGAAATTTTCACCTTCGGATCATGATAGCGCCTAACATTTTACTTGTTAGGCAAGCCAACGTTAGAATAATATTATCCATTTTTAAAATAATTTTTAAATTTTTTAATAACAAAGAACAAATGCGGAAGTAAAGTTTAAAATGTAGTGAATAATCTATAAAAAACAACGGTGTCTAAATACCGTCCCAGAATTAGTGTCACAAGTGCACGAGCTTCTAGAATAATACAAATAAAGGCCTGAATAAAATAAAGGTGTTTGGAAATAAACACACAGCTATAGTAAAATAGACGGGGACTTCACAACTGCGGACGTCATGCAGTTATACCTCAAGTCTCCTCTGGTAGCTGAAATCCGAGCAAGTCTATGGTGCGTNCTTTTAAATAAGTCTATTGTGGCGTGCAATCCGATCCCCTAAATATTGAGTTTTAATAAGTCTGTTGCGGCGTGCAACCTGATACTCCAATATGGACGTTTTAATAAGTCTGTTGCGGCGCGCAACCCGATCCTCATATATATTCATTTCGATCAATTCTGTTGCGGCGTGCAACCCGCTCCACCAATATATTGATTTACCAAATCTTATAGAAGAAATTTTCACAATAAATGCAATAATTAATATAAAATTTTAAAACAACAAGCATACAATAATTATGATTTAATTATGAAACAAACAATGACAAATAATAATTTATTATGAAAATCATGGAGAAAATAGGCAGTTTAATGTTTGATATACTAAATGCTAAGTAATAATTAATGCACATAATTCAAATAAGCATGTAGCAATTATTACAGGAATTCGAGAATTAATATTTGACAAGAAATTATGAGTGAAACAATTAATACAATAATTCATTCATGATTTAAAATGATTTAAGATTTTTAAATAATTATGCAAACAATTAATTCGACGACGTATAGACACTCGTCACGTCGCCTATACGTCGTTCACATACAATTTACATAATAAATAATTTAAGGGTTTTATTCCCTCAAGTCAAGGTTAACTACGACACTTACCTCGCTTTGTAAATTTCAATCAATTACTCAACCATAACTTTTCCTTTTAAATTTGTCTTTGAAAGCTCACAAACAATTCGATATATTCAATATGAATCATATGAATTAATTCCATATGAATTTACTAATTTTCCGGATAAAAACCCAAAATTTATTAAAATATTTGACAATGGGACCCAAGTCTCAAATCTCGGAAAAACTTACGAAATCCGAACACTCGTTCCGAGACGAGTCCAACCATACAAAAATTATCCAATTCTAATGTCAAATGGACCTTCAAATCTAAATTTCTCGTTTTTGGAATGTTTTACAAAAATTCCAATTTCTTCCATCTAAATCCGAAATAAAGGATGAATATAGACATGAATTCATGAAATATAATCATTTTTGATTATAGAACACTTACCCAATTCAAAGTCATAAAAAATCCCTTTAGAATCGCCAAAATCCGAGACTCAAAACTCAAAAATGAGTAAAAAGGGCTAAAACCCGATTTTATGTATTCTGCCCAGCATTTTCGCATCTGCGGGCTATATTTTCACACCTGCGGTCACGCATTTGCGAGAAAAATCTCGCATTTGCAAAGTGGGGCTGCCAGGCGAGGTTCCGCATCTGCGAACATTTCTATCGCACTTGCGATGTCGCAGAAGCGACCAAACGACTGCAAAAACGGTCTCTTCCGCAGAAGCGCTTCAGCCTTCACAGAAGCGGTCGCGCATTTGCGCCTCATTTCTCCGCATAAGCGACACAAATGACTAGTGCCCAGGTCGTCGAAGCGACCAGCTTCTCGCAGATGCGGTTGCGCACCTGCGATCACCATTGCGCATGTGCGATTACACCAGGTTCTGCCAAGAACCTGCTGCTTTCAACATGCTCTAAAATATTTGAATTTGGTCTGAAACTCACCCGAGCACCTCGGGATCTTATCCAAATATCCCAACAAGTCCCGTAACATAATACGGACTTATTCGGGGTCTCAAATCACATCAAATAACATCGAAATTGCAATTCGCACCTCGATTCGAACTTTGAGTTTTAAACTTTTTAATTTGCAAAACTCGTGCCAAAATATATTAAATGAATCCGGAAAGACTTCAAATTTGGCACACAAGTCATAAATGACATAACAGAGTTATTCAAATTTTCAGAATCAGATTCCGGCTCTGATATCAAAAAGTCAACCCCGTTGTCAAACTTGGAAATCTTTAACCTTTAAATTACTAGTTTCCGTTAAATGGTCATAACTTGAGCTAAGGACCTTCAAATTAAATTTCGGGCATACGCCCAAGTCCCAAATCACGATACAGACCTACCGGAACTATCAAAATACTGATCCGGGGTTGTTTGCTCAAAATGGTGACCAAAGTCAACTTAGTTGAGTTTTAAGGCTCTATTTCACATTTTAATCCATTTTTTTACATAAAAACTTTCCAGAAAATTTTACGGATTATGCACGCAAGTCGAGGAATAATAAATAGTACTTTTTAAGGTCTTAGAATACAGAATTACTTATTAAATTTAAAGATGATATTTTGGGTCATCACATATTTATGTACAGTTATGCCTCTGGACAATTTCCAGTTTCTAGCGCACCATGTGTGGTAAATCAAAGCTCCATTGATAGTCGCTGCCAGTTCTTTCTTGTAGGCCTTCTAATGTTTCATGTTAATATTGTCAAATGCCTAAGTAATTTTAACTGCTAGTAACTTGATATTTGTCTATTGATTCACCCCGTACCTTGTAGCTGTGATCCATGTACACTCCACGAACAAGTGGACATTAGTTTTAGTCGTGGGACCATTACATAAACAACACATGCTATCCTTCACCGAGACTTGTAACTTCAATAGTCTTTCCTTTATGAGCAGCCTCCCATGCACTGCAGCCACACTATAAATCTTTGTTTTGGTTGCGCTAATGAGGTCCATATCAGATTAGCTATTTTTATTTTAGGATGATCACCAATAAGATCAAGATAAATCCTAGTAATATAGTAGTCACCACTCCTAGTAAGCTTGTAATTATCTTGTTCATACCATCCCGGTATTTTGACTTTCAGGCCCTTAATCTTTTTCCAATACCAACTACAATTTGCCGGAGGGTTAATGATTTCATATATTTGCTTCAGCTTTCATGTACACCCCATTCACCCACTTCACCCATAAGGCTTCCTTATACTTAATCAACTGCCATAATAACTTTCCAACTGATGCAATATTCCAGTTTATGATGCCCTTAACATTCAAACCTCTTAACTTCTTAGGATAGCAAATATTTTCCCAAGCAACCAAGGGTAGTTTCTTCTTTTCCTCTGAGCTGCTCCAAAGATATTCTTTGCATATCATGTCTACTTCTTTGAGAATACTTTGAGGTATGATGAACACTGTGCCCCAGAAGTTATGAATATAGAACAAGATTGCATTAATGATTTGTAGCCTGCTAGCATATGAAATGAGCTTGGAATATGTGACTCTGATCCTTTGTGTGTTCTTCTCTGCCAGCATATGACAATCAAGATTGTTCCATTTCTTTGGGGCATGGGGAGTCCTAGGTACTTAATAGGAAGAGTACCTAGTGCTAATCCTTTTCTATCCAGTAGTTGCTCCTTAGTGTTATCATCCACTTTAGCCATAAAAATGCTTGATTTATCTATATTTGCTATCAAACCTGTTACATTACTAAAGTGAGTCAGTGCCTCCATAATCCTATTAACCGAGCTATCATTCCCTTTACAGAGTATCGTCAGATCATCAGCGAATAAGAGATGGGTTAGCTTTAGTGATTTGCACATTGGGTGGAATTTAAAATCAGGTAGCATGCTAACTCTCTTCAGCATCCTTGATAAGTATTTCATAACAAGCACAAACTGAAGAGGAGAGATAGGATCACACTGCATGAGGCCTATCTTCCCTGCAAAATACCCATGAATTTCTCTATTGACTTTAACTGAATATATTATTGTAGACAGAGGCGGATCCAGGATTTAAATTTTATGGGTTCAACTTTTAAAGTTTTTAACACTAAATTCATTATATTTGTAAAGTTATGGGTTCATATCTACTATTTTTATAATTTTAATTAATTTTTACACATAAATTTTTACCTCGCGTCAAAAGTTATGGGTTCAGTTGAACCCGGTGATACTACACTATACCTGCCACCGATTGTAGACACACACACATACCCCATAATCCACTGGATGGATTTATCTGTGAATCCAAAGCCCCTCATCGCTTCTTCTTGGAATTCCCAACTCATCATATCATATGCCTTCCTAAGATCAATCTTCATATGGCACCTTGGTGATGTTATTTCTATTGTAGTGTCTTAGTATATCATGACAAATTAATACATTATGCAACATGGACCTCCCTTGTACAAATGCAGATTGGTTTTCTGCTACTAAATGATCAACTGTTGCCTTTAGTCTACTGCATAGCAATTTTGAAATGCACTTGTAAAGTACATTACAACATGATATTGGTCTGTATTGGCTAGAAAATTCTGGATTGTCCACCTTAGGAATGAGTGTTATGACTGTTGAGTTTAGCTACTTAGGAGCTTGCCATTTTGAAAAAAAATCTATTACTGCCTTAGTGATATCCTGCCCCAATATAGGCCATGCAGCCTTGTAGAATCCAATACCAAAGCCATCTGAACCTGGGCTTTTGTTACTATCAATTTTAAACATAGCTTCCTTCATTTCCTCGTCTTAAGAGCCAATAATATATCATCAACATAGACAGCCAATACTACTAAAGATCCAGAGGAGGATTTGGTGAAGAGAGAATAATCATTTAGACTAGAAATGTAGCCTCTTGAGAGCAAAGCCTCAGACAGTTTAGAAAATCACTGTCTGGAGGCCTGCCTAAGGCCATAGAGAGATTTCTTGAGCTTACAGACCAGAGGAGTTGAAGAAGAAGCAGAGGAAATATCAAGGCCAGGTGGAATTTTCATATATACCTCCTCATGGAGATCACCATGGAAGAAGGCATTGTTAACATCTAACTGGTACACAGTCCAATCTCTCTTGATGGCAAGAGTTAAAAGACATTTAATGGTGGTGATCTTGATAACAGGAGAGAAGGTTTCAGTAAAATCTATGCCTTCCCTCTGAGTATCACCTCTAATAACCAATCTTGCCTTGTATCTTTCAACAGACCCATCTGCCCTCTACTTAATTTTATAAACCCATTTGCAAGGAATGGCCTTCTTATGTGGGGGAAGAGGGACAATGTCCCAAGTCTGATTTACCTCAAGAGCAAAAAATTCTTTTAGCATGTCCTCTTGCCAAGCAGGATGAGTTACAGCCTGCTGGTAGAACTGAGGTTCATACATGTGAGTTTCACTAGAAGGGAGATTAGAGTGTGCAGAATTGGAGAAGATGACAGATGAACAAATATAATCCTTAAGGTAAGAAGGTTGAGTGACAGTTCTAGTGGACTTCCTTAAGATGGGAAGAGCAGAAGTAGTTGAGGTGGAAGTAGGAGAAGTAGAATTAAAACTAGGGGAAACTATAGGAGATGAAGGTTCGGAATGACTAGTAGATAGAGTAGTCACAGAAGGATGAGCTGGGATATCCACAAAAGTGGGAGGTAAGACATTGGAATGAGAAGGATTAAAAGAAGAAGAATAAGGAAAAGTATGTTCATGGAATACCACATCTCTAGAATGGAAAACAAAAATTTTAGACAAATTGAGCAATTTGTAACCTTTCTTCCCACATGGGTATCCTAAAAAGATACATGCAATGGCTCTAGATTGGAACTTATCCCTGCCTCCCTTAGGGAAAGTAGCAAAGCAGAGACAACCAAACGATCTTAAATGATCATAGGAGGGTGGATGACCATGAAGCTTTTCAAAAGGAGAAAGTTTGAGAAGAAGTGGTGAAGACATTCTGTTGATAAGATATGTAGCAGTCAATACACATCCCCCCCAAAATTTTAGTGGTAGTTTAGATTGAAACAGTAGGGCTCTTGAAACCTCTAAAAGATGCTTGTGTTTCCTCTCCACAATACCATTTTGTTGTGGAGTATAAGGGATCGAAGTTTGATGTAAAATTCCTTGGGATGTAAAGAAACTGATGGCTTCAGAGCTGCTGCCAAGCTCAAAAGCATTATCTGATCTAAATGTTTGTACTGAGGAATTGAAATGAACCTTTACCATAGAGGTGAAAGCTTTAAGAATGGATAAAGCATTACTCTTGGAAGAAAGAAGATGAGTCCAAGTGACTCTGGTAAAATCATCAATCAAGGTGAGAAAATACCTAAATCCATTATAAGTTTTAGTGTTGTAAGGGCCCCAAATATCAATATGTACCAGTTAAAAAGGTGTGGTAGAATGAATAGTACTATCATGAAAGGGTAATCTTTGTTGTCTAGCCATTGGACAAATCAAACATATAAAAGGTTGTTTGGTGGATACCTTGTTTGACAGAAAAGAAATAGATTGCATCTTATGAAAAGGCATGTGACCTAATCGCTGATGCCAAAGTAGATCCATCTTATTAACAGGTGAAGTTTTATTATAACTAGGTGGAACATTTACAGGTGAAGATGCAAGGACAGATTTATTACATGGAATTGAACCAATATCAAAAATAGACTCATTGCAAGTTGCATCAACAAAAGATGATAGAGAAGAAGTTGTGCTAGGAAACAGATCTCCATCTGGATGAAGATAATAGAGCCTGCCAACAGCCTTACCAATTACCAGTGGCCTCTTCAGAGAAGGGCCCTGTAAAGAACAATGGAACTTGGTAAGAACTGCTATACAATTCAGCTGAGTAATGAGTTGATGAATAAAAATTAAATTGAATTGGAAAGATGGCACTAGAAGGACATTAAGTAAAGTTATATCATGTCTTAGATGTAAGGATCCATTTGATATAACCTTAACTTTCTACCCATTAGATAAGGTAACAAGAAATAGTTTAGTTAAAGGTAGAAGATTGTGAAGCAAATGTTTGTGAGGAGTCATGTGGTTAGTAGCCCCTGAATCCAAGATCCAAGGGTTTGGATTTGACTGTGAAGGTGCACATACATGAAAACCTACAGACTCTACAGCATAGGCATGAACAAACCTGCAAAATGAGCAAATGCAGAATCCTCATCTGGGTGAATAGGTGGAGCAGAACCAGGAGAGACCTGAACTTGCTGAAATAGACTGAGGAGATGCTGATATTGTTCTTTTGTAAACCCCTGAACTGGGGCAGAAATTCCTGGAAGCTGACTAAACCCAGAAGATGGTTGAGGATAGGAGATATCACTTTGGACACAGGAAGCAGACCTTTTATTCTTGGTAAATTTGAAATCAGGAGGAAAGCCATGAAGTCTGTAGCATTTTTCCACTGTGTGTCCAGATTTCTTACAGAATTTACAAGATACCGTGGGCGCATTCTTTTTGGGTTCAAAGTTCACCTTTTGAGTGAAACTTCTATTGTTATTGTACTGAGCAGGGGTGACAGAGAAAGAAGCAGAATCCCCAGAGAAATTGGAAACATTAGAAAAAGACTCCTTTTGACTCTCATCCTGTTGAAGGAGGGAATAAGCCTTGCTTATAGAATAAGGGGGTTCATCATCATAATGGCACTCTTAACTGTGGAGTAAGACTCATTAAACCCATTCAAGAACTGAAACAATTGTTGGTCCTCTATAAACTTTGGAAGTGCTCCACAGGAACACACTGGACCAACATAAGAGGAGTTCAATTCATCCCATAAGCTCCTAAGTTTAGTGAAGTAAGTAGCAATGTCTGATGAGCCCTGAGTAGTTGTACTAATTTCCCTTTGGATTTGAAGATATTTTGAGCCATTTGACTGACCAAATCTCTCATTAATGTCTTTCCAGACTTCTCTTGCAGTCTTAAGGCACATGACACTAGTAGCAATTTCTCTGGACACAGAATTAGTTATCCATGCTTTCACCATGTCATTACACCTTTTTCAGTATGAGTAGTAAGGGGAATCTTGTGTTGGTTGAGGAACCCTACCATCTAAGAGCCCTAACTTATTTTTTGCAGACAAGGAGGTAAGCATAATACTTCTCTATAGAACAAAACCACAGCCATTAAATGGTACAGACACCAGTTGACTACCAGGACTGTCAGAGGGATGCACATACAAAGGATGGGATGGGTCTATTGTGAAGTGAGTAAATCCCTCAGAGGGCGTGCTACTAGGTGAACCTACGTTTTTCATAATACTACTCACACAATGAAGTTTAAGTTCAATATTGTTGAGAGGAAACAATTAACAATTGAAATATCACAAATTCCACACGAGTATACTACATGCAAACTCGGATCTACATGATTTTGAAGTTGAACAGGAGAGATATTACCAGCCTTCTTCTCAAACTTGAAGAAGAACAATCTTCTTTGAACATGAAACCCTAGAGATTCGAATCTCTAAGAATCGTTGAGGGACGAGTCGAAAAACCAAACTCCCTAGCAGTACCAGACTTTTGAAGGAGAAAACGAAAGAAACCCCAAATTTGATGATCAAAATCATCTAATTTCAGTTATCGACGATCAACCAGAGACGTAAACGAGACCGTTCAAAACTTTGGGCGAGGGTAACATCGTACTGAAGCTCATGACTAGAGGAATCATAATTCCTGCTCTGATACCATGTCAATTTGAAGAGCTATGGCGAAGAAGAAATGAAGAAAACCCTAGATAGAGTGATGAGAGAGAAAGGAGAAAAGAATCGGTCTCATGGCTAGACCCGTTGCTTTCTTTCTGTGTCTCTTTTTCTTTACATAAGAGTATGTGTATATGTATAACAAAATGAAAAACAACCAAAATACAATTAGGCCGGGTGTGCTACTGGGCTGGGCTCTTTCCTTTTACAAGAATATGTGAGCCTATGTCCATATTTGGGTTAACAACAACTGGGCTAAATAACTCTAGATGTTGAGCAGTTGACAGAGTAAGACTATTCTCTATAACGATAGGGAAATATTGCACTCTAGATGTAGACTTCCTCCCTAAAAGTTCTCCATAGTAATCTACAAACAAGTTTGCTATATCCCTTCAATATCCTTAAGTTGTGTTGTAGCCTGTTTCAGTTTTCTGTACTTTATAATTGAGTAGAAGTAACACATGTTATCATCTCCCAGCTTAATCCACGTAGCTTTAGTTCTCTGATGTAGATACATTTCTGCCAAATAGGATGACTGTTTAAACTTCTGGTAAGCCTGAGATTCTGCCTGCTGAACCTCCACAGTTAAGGGATCCCTTTGTAACTGCAATTGAATTTGCTTTTTATTAATAATTTTAAACTTATTGATTCAGACATATCATTTGTTGTATTTTTAATAAATTTTTATACATATATTTATGCTCCGCTTCGAAAATTATGGATTAATGATGAACCCGTGCTGGTACTGTACACCCACCCCTGATGGAGAGAGATAAGCTTATTTTTTCGTGTATAAATGAAAGAAGTTTTTGCAAATACATGTCAAATATCTATTATTATTATTATTATTATTTGGTATAGTCTAACTTCTCTATAACAATCATCTTATATGACTAATGATCAAATTTTCTTAGAAACTGATTTTTCATGTTATGTTTGTTTTTATAATAGCACTTTGTTATAACAATTAAAAAATATTTGGAACGAACGAGGTTGTTATAGAAATATTTGACTAATTAAACTTTTTATGCTATAATTAAAAGTGAAAAGCACGCGCTATTAGGTCGAGTGAAATGAATGGGGTCACATAACTTTCCTCCTCGGTCTGAGGGTGACAAAGCTTTTCTCTGATGCGGGCATGTGCATGTCTCCGTTAATTACTCCCCCAATGTGTATTACCCAACAGACACTTCCCAATTATTTGAAAGGCCAAACACAACCACCGAAAATCTCACTTTGTTTAAACCTTAAGTTGACGACCACAAGTGACCCCTGCCCCTTTACAGCTATAAATAACCAGCCATTTCCCTTCCATTTTCCTCACCCCCATTGGGCCATAATCCGTTCCGAAACAAAATAGTGTTCTCTGATTGGCTTTGCTTTAGAACATTCACCATGGGTCTAAAAGGACTTTTGTTTAGTATTGTTTTGATTAATTTGTCATTACTAGGACTTTGTGGGTATCCCAGAAAACCTGTGGATGTACCCTTTTGGAAAAACTATGAGCCCAGTTGGGCTAGTCACCACATCAAGTACCTCAATGGTGGTTCCACTGCTGATCTTGTTCTTGACAGGTCTTCAGGTACTAATATTAATTAGTACTAATATAGCTGCCTGTTTTTTTCTCTCCTTATTTTGTCTAATTTTTTCATTTGATTTGTATGAATGAAGGAGCTGGATTTCAGTCAAAGAAATCATATCTATTTGGGCACTTTAGCATGAAACTGAGGCTTGTTGGTGGAGACTCCGCTGGTGTTGTTACTGCATTTTACGTAAGTTGTATGGGCGGAACTTGCCCTTCAGTCACGAGTTTAGCTGAACACATTAGTTTTGGTCTTTTAAATCTGTATCTGTTTTAAGAAATTGATTGAATATGTAAAATTATTAATTTAAAATTTAATAACTTAATAGGACTAGAATTATGAACCTATAAACTTCAAATCTTAGCTCCACCTATATATAGTCCGTTCATTTTTTGCACCATACTAGAAAATGGACACTGCTTAGATCTGCAATTTTCTCCATTTTTGCAGCAACATATAGTTTTTCATTTCCTTCACAATGAACAAACTAAGTTATGTGTTTTTGGACTGATTTTAATTATATTTTTGGGAATGTTTCAGCTGTCATCGAATAATGCAGAGCACGATGAGATAGATTTTGAATTCTTAGGGAACAGGACTGGGCAACCATACATTTTGCAGACGAATGTGTTTACGGGAGGAAAAGGAGACAGAGAGCAGAGAATCTATCTTTGGTTTGACCCAACCAAGGGTTACCATTCTTATTCCGTTCTTTGGAATACCTTCCAGATTGTGTAAGTACCTTAACATTTACAGTACTTACTAGTAGCTTTCTTTTCCGTAAATTTCTTGCTTTTTTTAAAAAATTTCCTAAAACAGAAAATATTACTAGATTATTGTATTGTCTGTCATCTTTTCTTCTATGGTCCCATGTATTTCTCGGAGCGGGTGCACTTGGTTTTATTCTACGTGATCCCTATTTGCTATGTTTAAAAATAGTATGGTAACAATTGTTGTTTAAGAAAAAAGCAAAATGCACATTTGTCGAGGCATTATTATTGTATTAAAATAAAGCACGAAAACTTGTAAGTTCACGATGGTCTAAAAATAGTCAAGATTATAGTAAAGACCTCTCCCATGTGAGCATCCTCTCGAGTTTATGTTTGTCTTTTTGTGTTAAACAAGAATTTTAAATTTTTGATATACTCAATATATATGTATATATTCCTCAATATTTACGCTTAAATTTATGCGTCTATATTGTTCATTTCAAATTATCTGATCCACATACTTTAATAAAGCAGCTAGCGAATTGGTGTCCTTGCAACAAAATTTTTGTCTTCTATCTTGCACCTAAATCTTGAAAAAATAATGTTTCCTTGTAGAATGTGCATCTTTGTCTTTCAAAAGACTTATTACTATTCACCGCTTTGAGCAAAGTGGTGGAAAGGATGCTCAAAAGCAATGAACTTTTTCTTCTATTTCATACTAAATATATAAAAAAGATATTTAATTTATTCTTATATATTAATTAGTATATATTTTATCCATTTCAGTACTCCTATTATTTTTGAGAGATGCTATAATGAGTAGTTTTTTCAAAACATTATTCTATCCCACCTTTGGGCCTCCACCAAAATGGACATGGCTAAATTGTCTTTAACGTTACAGGATCTTTGTGGATGACGTCCCAATACGAGCATTCAAGAACTCGAAAGACCTAGGTGTGAAATTCCCATTCAATCAACCCATGAAAATATACTCAAGCCTTTGGGATGCAGATGATTGGGCCACAAGAGGTGGATTGGAGAAAACAGACTGGTCAAATGCCCCATTTACTGCCTCCTACACATCATTCCACGTGGACGGCTGTGAAGCTGCCACCCCACAAGAAGTCCAAGTTTGTAACACCAAAGGCATGAGATGGTGGGATCAAAAGGCTTTCCAAGATTTAGATGCTTTGCAATATAGGAGACTTCGTTGGGTTCGTCAAAAATACACTATCTATAACTATTGCACTGATAGGAAGAGATACCCTACTCTTCCACCAGAATGCACTAAGGACAGAGATATTTAAGTAATTTAATTAAGAGGGGGCTTTTTAAGCACTTAATATTATTTATGTTGTGAGTATTTTAAGGATGTTACTATTATAAACATCCATGAGAGAAACCCCTAAAACAAAGAGCTTATAATTAAGCTTTATTTCTCTATTTTTTTGAGTGTATCATTGGTGGAGTCGTGAGGATATATCTCATGTTAGGTCTTCATGTTCCTGCGTGTAATGAGTGATGTACTGTAATTTATTGCACTATTTGTTTTCTCTGAATTGAATTATGAACCAATACATATGAGTGTAGCATAGTAATTGATCTCGCCTTCATTTTGAATTGGACAACTTACATTTTGATAAAAAGAATTTAACGCCTAGAATGTTGATCTGCGGGAAATGATACAGTGTGCACATGTTGATGACACAGATTTTTTCGTACGTGATATTGGTATTTTAAAAAAATTAACAAATGAATAAATTACTGTAATGATACAACTTATGCAATACAATTTACATTTCATACTTCAATTTAATTTGTTCCTTAAAAATTTTATATGTTAAAATTGGTACTAGTTTGTAGCAAATATAATTCTCCCTCAATGTTGCCAAATTTAACATAATTTCGTTTATTATTAATATTATCTTAATTTATTGCTTAATCATTACGAATTAATATGGTTTGACGAAATGCAAGTTTTTAGTCTTGTTTG